CTTATTTATAAATCTTATTTATAGATACTTATAAAGAAACTGTAGGGAAGGGGGTTCACTAAAGAAACTTTTGCCAGTTAATCTGTAAATATGTGTTTTGAACCCAAATTTGTTAACAGGTCATTGATTCTGAGCCTAACTCTAGAATTTTATTTCCTCAGGGTTCTGCAGACTCACTGCATCATTACAAGACAGCAAAGACAGATTTTTAGCTTAAGAAATATCTGTACGTGCTTATATATATAATTTTAAAATTAAGGACTATGCACCTTTTAAAACTTGCCTTAGAAAACTGTTTAACAAAGTAAAAAGAAATAATTTTGAAATATTAACTAAAACAACAACAACAAGACAATGGAGTGGAAGTTCATGACTTTGAAATTCTTCAGAAAGGATCAGAGCATTTGCCCAGAAAAGCCAGTTGACTTATCAACTGTCTTCTTGACTTCCACAACTTTACAGATCAGCCTGAAAATACATCAAAATCTACAGACAGTTCTACAAGTTTTCACCCTTTTTTCCATAAATGTACCTAGAGTTTATGGAAGGTTTTGGTATTTTTCACATTGAAATATATATATATGTATGTATATGTGCAAAGCTTAATCTGTTCAGTTCTCCACTGTCATCCATTTGCCTGTGTGTGTACATGAGACTCTCCCATGCACGCACACAGTTGCAGTTATTCAGGCAATATGTTCTCTCAGTATTGTGATGTGATTTAGGTGTTCCATTTAAGCTAAATTTTTATTTATGGTAAATGGAAAGACATTGGCAATTCCAGAGGTGGAAACTATTCTGTCTTAATAGAAGTCTCTAAAATGGGCAGGATGAACTAGTAGTTGGAAGCATCTCTCTCTGTCTCTCTATTTAGATTTAATAATCCAAGAGAATAACATCAAACTAGACAATTACATTTTGGCCTACTGAAATTAGTCAGGTTAATTTACTAAGCTTTAAAAATCTAAAAGAAACATCTAAAAACAGTCATGAGGCTTTGCAGAGTGCACTGGGGCAAGTGCTACATCATGGTCTTCTGCAAGTATACAGGTCTGGAAAAAATAATTTTAGAAATTAGTTTAATCTTGCATCCCTGGGAGGACTGATACATGAAGAAGATAAAATTAACCCCTATATTAATGTTAGAGAACCATAAAATTGTTAGGAATTTTATTTCTAGTACAACAGAACTCAGTCCACATCTTCATTTCAATGACAAATCTGCAAAGTTAAGGAAATTCATAATATAAGGGTTATCATTTTGATGGTAGACAGCCTTATGCTTTGGTCACCTTTGTTTTTAAACACTGAGTACAAAATACTTCAAAGAATCACTGAGTTGTTTTAGGGGGGATGCAATATAGAAGATTGCTCTAGAACAGCCAGATCATTTAAAGAAAGGTGGAAGCTTTTTGAAAAAAATAAATATTTATATTAATGTGTTTTCTCACAATGCATGAAAACTGTACCCTTCAGCCAGACCACACTTTAAACCCTGTGTGTCTAACTGCTCAAATTCAGTAGCAGAGATTTACATAGGAATCTAAAAAGAAAGACTGGTGTAAGGAAATGAACACCTAAAATCTCTCTGCTGCCTTAACAAAATAGTCTTAAGCTGTCCCTTCTATATAACAAAAGTCAATTTTGAAAACTGTATCTAGTCTTTGCTTGCAGTTAAGCATAGACAAAAACGATTGCCCACAAAAAATGGCTATGCACGCACTGCAGAAGTTCCCGTTTAACTAAAACAGACTTAAATATACTATCCACTTTTATAATATCAAAATGTTTTCTCTGTAGGGACAAAATCTGAATGATTTGGACTCCTCCTAATAATGTATGCGTTAATCCAGAGAGGAGAATGAAATGGAGATTACCTACAGTTAGCTTGTGGAAATGGCTCACTTTTCCTTTAAAATATATTCATGTATATTCACACTCAGCATGTTTCACAGAGCACATCACCTACGACAACCCCGGTATGGATAGATATACTCTGTATTTGGATATAGAAATGTTAACTATATATAGCACGTTCTTCTGCTTTAGTTTAGTTTCGGTTTTTCCTTTTCAGATGTGTTAATTCAAACATTTAAACAAATCTAGTATTAAAGGAACAGCACTGCCAACCTTTGGGGTCCAGAGCATTTTGTGATTCCATTTTTCTGTCTTTATCAAGATCTTCACCTCACAAATACATAGGATGTCTTTGAAAAAGTGGCAACAATAAATTTTTGTTGCCTTTAAAAAAAATTATAAAATTAATATCAGCTTTTAAAAAAGCTTTTAGATATAGTAGATGTTCATTAATTAGCAGTGGAGATATGTACTGGAGACATAAAACTGCAAAGATTTGAAAAGTAACTGGTATACCTTTAACATTCTTCAGACAAAATTTTCATGTAGTTGTTTTTGCATAAACATTATAAAGCAATATTAAATTCCTCTTACCAACTAAATGAACAAAGCTCTCTCAAGAACTATTACTATTATTTAATAATTGTCAAAACTTCTACAGACAGCCGTACTGCATGGAAGGCTGTGGGGTATAGGCTTTCACGTAATTGCCTGAAGTTTTTAAACTTACTTTCAAAGGAGATTATGAATATCTTCAACAATATTTCAGTTTCTTAATATTTCTCAAAAGTAATTTTTCAAATATTTTTGAGTAGATTTCTAAGGTTTTAAGTAACCAGACTTAAATTTATTTTTCTAATACAATACTCAATAAATCTTTTGTGAGATACTTTTTATCTAGTCCAGTATTAAGAGTTTTAAAAGGTAGATCTAGTCTGCTCTAGTCTTCCTCTATTGGATGTGCTGCTTGACAAGAAGCATGAATGAGTGTTCACCAAACAATTTAGGACTTAAATAATGTTTCTCCATGCACATGGCACAGTATCAAAGCTTAGATCAAATATTGTCCAGACTCACAGTAGGAGTACAACAGCCATCCTTAGTAGTACCTAGCAACTATCTAAAAAGACTTTATATTGTCTAAAAATGAATTTAGAATATTTGAATTGAGTCTTGTCTTCTCATTTTGAGCTTGATTTTCTGTACCATACTCATAAAAGCCTCTTCATTTTAGTTCTCTATAAAATAACACATTTTAAAATAAGGTTAAAAGTCATATTTTATATTCCCAACTATTCTATATAGTATTGTAACTGGTTTTGACTGAAGATTAAAACTTGCCATTTGGGTCCATTAAAATAATATTTAATATAAATTTTGTTTGAATGCCAGGTTCGTCCAGCTCAGCCAAAAACTTATTTTTACTTGAAGAATGGAAACAGCCGCAACTCATCCATCTTATTACCTAAAATTCCTTTAATACGTGAGACATTTCTATTCCCATCCTAAGTATTTCACAACAAATTAGAGATCTAAAACATTTGTTAATAAGACATTTAGGTTGTTGCTCTTCAGAATTTGTATTTTTTGGCTGCATATTTATTTGCTGTACACTATTGATCTTCCAACTCTCTATTTTGTTAATTTTTTTCCTCCAATAACCAATCCAGACAAAGGAAATTCTCCACCAGAAAATGCTGAAGTCCTGAGGAAACAACATGGAGATCAGATAACGTATGTTTGCCTCATCGAAAAATTCTACCCAGAAGTTATTCGGGTGACATGGAACGATGGAGAAAAAGAGGTAACAGACAACGTAGTAAAAGGAGATGCTTGGAAGGCTACAGAAGATGACAAATACTCAATCAGCAGCTGGTTAACTGTACCAGCAGAGAACAAAGACAAGAAGTATCTCTGCAAATACGAACATGAAGGGAAACAGGATTCAAAGCAGGCATATGGTATATACTAAATTTTTAAATTTTCATTCTACATATTAATTTTGGTTTTTGCAATAAAATTATAGAAATAATGCTATTACTGTTCCTGGAAGCACATGCTCCTTGGCACAACAATAGCTAAAATGCATATCTGGAGAAACTACCAAAGTTTTCCCAGGAAAAGCAACCCAGCCTGTGCTACAGTCCGCAAATGAAAGTCCCTTTGTAAGAGGCAAAGAGCAGCTCTCTCGAACCTCATCACGTGTAAACTAGCATAGGTCCAAAAGGTCTCCACTGAGCCATGTTGGTTACTTTACAGTCTCCACAGAAGTTTCTGAGAACAGTATTACTTCTCTGTTACCCATGGCATACAGGTGTAAGTCCCTCTGAGACCCCCCTGACATTAGCCACAGCTATAAAAAACGAAGGAGTTAAAAACGAGGTTGCTGGGAATGTAGAGCAAAGTTTAAATATATTATTTACTCATAGTCCAGCAATTGTGAGGTAATAACCATGTATGAAAATAAGATCTCATTTATTTGTGGAAAAATAAATTATGCAAAGCAAATTCTGAAAGGAAATGCAATTTTAAAGAAAAAAGTAACTTATAATCAATGCAATTTTTTGAAATCATGGTAATATCTTTAAGAAAAGCTGCCTATGTTGGTTTAGATTAATCTTTTTTCAGTACCTATTTCTCTTTAACTTATTATCAATTAATGTAACTCCAATGAGTGAGAGCATAGCCATAAATAACCATTACATTTCAACCTTCAAAATATATTTTGAAAAAAATATGTGTTAAGTTTATTTAGATGGATGATGTATTTAGGGAGGTAATACAGATGTCTTTAAGCCCATATATCAATGCATACAAACACCATAACCAAGAACAAACAAATTCGCTGCTTCAGGCACAAAAAGGGTTTATTTTAGAGAACAAACCACCACCAAAATAGCAAATTCCCAACAGGGGAACTTTAGATCATGCTCTCTTCAAGATTATTCTTTAGTGTTGAGCAACCATTAAGTAACAAACTAACTGAGGTCCCTGACGATGTAAATTATTCTGTATTTCTAATAACAGTACTTTGTGAAGGCAAACAGACTCCAGCTACTTCAGAGATGAGATCAGGTGGTCAAATTGAATTCAGTTCCAAATAAAAGAGACACTGCCAAGGAACAGCCTAACGGACACATCCCTAAAAGGGCAAAGGCAAACCTCCCGCTTAGGGCAACAAATACCCAGTCACTTTTCTACAAGCATATTTCCCCTTCAAATTCTCTCTGCAAGTGAATCCTACCTGTGAACATCTCTGCAGACAGATCTTAAACATCTTTTTTGTTGTTACTTAATACTAACTTCCCATCTCACTGTTGCTGTACTGCCTCTTTTTTTCCCTATTTCTCAATTCATATTTGTTAAAATTAAAGAAAAGCCTAATTGGGGCATTTAAACTCTCTTTCCAGCAGAACCTACAAAGCCTAAAGCTCCAGAAGAGAACTGCATCACATATCCTGGAAATGGCACCGATTTTAATAGAGGTAACTAAAAACGTATTAAAATGTGGGAAAGCAATGCATGTCATGCATGAGTTAGGTATTGCTACATATGCTCAGAACATCATGAAAATAATCTTTCTAAATAGCGTACAGGAAATCTTTTAAGTCTGGGGTCTGCAACTTAAAAATGCTTTGGTGCTACTCTGAATCAACTTCTGTTGAGGATTATAAAAAGGGCCTCTCCCACCTTTATTAGGAGCTTTACCAGGATGCTACAGATGCTGTTTGGGTTACTAGATTATTAGCCTGCATTAAGTGCCACTTTTTTAAAATACCTGAAGTAGTTAAATGCCCAAGGCTTCAGCTGATGCTCCATCAGCCTAGCAATTGCCAGGGCAAAGAAATTTTCTTATAGCTTGAGTGGGGATTTAGGCAAAATCATAAGCACTTGTGTTCAAAAAATCCAGCGCAAAATGATTCAAGCAAACACGGTGCTACCGGTAATCAGTACTAGAAGCACTACAATTATATTCTTGCCTTTGCAGGGAATAATAGCTTAGCGGCACTGAGAGGCAGTCTAGTGCTAAGGAACCTGTTTGTTCCAGAATTTATTAGCAGTGCAAACCTGCTCAAGGGCCAGTCATACTTTATACTGTCCACTAGAATCAATACAATTGCAGCAGTAAACAGACTACACAGTCCTGGTTCTACCAGTCTTTTAGGCGGTTGTGCAATACTGACACTAAACAAGACATTTCTGTCTTATGTTTGTTACAGATCACTTAATGCACAGGACAGCATATTTAGTGTACATTGTCCTTCTTCTGAAGAGCTCCATGTACTATCTCATCGTACTCTTCTTCATCTACAGAATGTGGTCTCCAAGCAAGCACCAAGGAAAGAAAGCATAAACGTTGGTTTTGGAAAGGCTTACAAAATTGTATTCAATTTGCTTTGCTATATACTTATCCACATAGACTCCCCTGCTCTCAGCGTTAAATGTAACAACAACAACAAAATCCCAGAATAATTTTCTGGCATTAGTGCATAGGTCTTGTTTTGCTTTACTGCTAGTGTTTTTGTATCAGTCTGGTTTTCTTAATTTTTCTGAGTATTGAATGGAGATGGGCAATAGGAGTAAGGCTACATACCTTGGATTTTAATCCAAAGTCTGTGTTGCAAAATCAGGAAGGTACTTACGTTAACAGGGCTTTGAGAGCACAGACGCATTTTGTCATTGCGCTTAAGGCTTAATTAGGAGCATTC